TTACTCACAACTCACTTGAGAAACCTCCATTATAGTTAGCAATTCCATAACTGTTTATTGGCTGTGTAACCTGTCACCTGAAATTTCCACAAAAATCTTTCTCCAGTTATAGATGTATGAACTATTCTAAAAGTAACTTGTCTCTCAAATTAAAAAACAAGCAAACAAAAAAACTGTCTTAAATAATTATGGCTAAGATTAACATTTTTTAAAAAAAATGTTGATTATTGTCTGCCTTCCCTTATGATGGTCAAATCCCTATGAAATAATTTTAAGGCCTTGCAAAATTTATTATATTCTTACTTTAGTTGTGAGTGAAAAAATCTTACTCTTATAATAATCTTATTCTTCTGCTCTGATGCACTTATGAAAGAAAGGACAGCACAGAAGCAGATAGTGGCATCTAGCGTTTAGAAAAAAAAATAAAAAATGAGGTTTTAATTTTCATTCAGGTGAGCAGTGCCGAGCTTTTCAACTCAGAATTATGGGATCACTCATGATTTACCTTTGTGATGAGCCTTATAAATGAAAGCAGAATTTCCAACAGACCAATCAATCCAGCCTTTCCTGTTCCTCACAATGCTTTATCCCTTGCATATATATATGTACACACTGTGTGGCAAATCTGGGAAGAAGAGTTTCTCTTATTAGCAGTGCAGTGGGTTGGAGCTTTGTGCTACAGATATATCTACAACCAATTTGGTGATACAAAATGTTGCTATGATAATTGGCCTAAAGTTATTAATTCGGATCATTAAATTGTATCAGTTATAGTAATTAAAAGCCCTAAAGTATGGACATGATTGCACCCCACCTCCCCCCCCCCCCCAAACGCCCTCAAAAAACCCCACCCACTCAAGTGTCATTAGATAATATAGATTTGTTTTAGGTTTTCTTGCTTTGTAAGGAACTCTATGGTGGCTGTGGCTGTCTGGATATATTATGGCTGCCTCTCTCTGGATGTGATATGTTTGCTGCTGGAACAAAGTGAAGTTATGTTTCAAAGCAGAACATGGGATCCCTGTGCTGAGTTTTATATCAGCTATCTTTCAGTATGCGGTGCACAAAGTGTATTCTAGTACATAAATGGTCACTGTGTTTTTAAATATAAAGAGTGTTATTTTATATTTATTGAAGGAATAGTTTTGTTTTCCATTCTAGATTCTCGAACAGGCATCAGAAAAGAACTGAATTGTAACGCAGAATGATTACAGTGTCCTGGGCTGCATGAGAAGGAGAGTTGCCAAGAGGCTGAGGGACGTGAACCTTCCACTCTGCTCAGCCCTGGGGAGGCCCTGGAGTGCTGCATCTAGTTCTTGGCTCCTCAGCACAGAAAACATGGTCTGACCAGAGCAACTCCAGCTCAGGGCCACAATGATGATTTAGGGACTGGAGCATCTTTCTGGAGAGGCTGAGAGATGCAGCACTGTAGCCTGAAGAACAGAAGGCTCAAGTGGGGAATATTATTAATGTGTATAAATACCTGATGGGAAGAATTAAAGAAGGATCCAGGTTCTCCTCAGTGCTGCCCAGTGACAGGACAACAGTAATGGACACAAACTGAAAGCCATGAAATTCCATATGAACAAGATGGAACAAGAAAACCCCTTTTTTTTTTATTATTATTTTTTTTTTATCCCCAATGTGAGGTGGCCAAATGCTGGAAGAGGTTGTCCAGAGAGTTTATGGCTTCTCCATACATGATGATATTAAAAACCTGATTGAACATCATTCTGGACAACTTGCTTTAGATTATTCTACCTGATCAGTGTTTGTGCTGGAAGATTTCTAGAGGTCCAATCCAGCCTTAATGATTCTGTGATTTGAAAGTGGAGACATTGAGCTAATAATATTGCTTTGGACTATGCTTGAACTCTTTCTTCAAGATTAATTCCCAAACCCTTCCTAACATTTTTCTTGTATCATACTAGAGATTATAGGTACATTATAGGTACATTAGTATCTTGCTAAAACTTTAAAGTAAATGTGCAATTAGGACAAAAGTAGTATGCTCAGATCAAGAGCACAAGTCCTGATGCTAATGAATTGTCTTGTGCTTGCATTCTTGCACTTGCCAGTAGTTGTCATGATACATTTTAATCTTCAGGCAAGGGATCCGAAGATAAATCTATGTGTCTAGAAGCTTGTCTTTTTTTTTTTTTTTCCCCCAATCATATCTGTTGGTGATAGGATTTCTTCTTCCTCTAGACTGTTCTTTGTTCATTTCCATAGACTGTCACAAGTATGACAACATAACTGCTCTATAACGACAAATATAATATTGAGACTATGCAATATTTTGTATTAGCTTAGAGGTTGGATGAATTTCAATGAGTGCGCTGATGCTTCTTGTTGGTACTTAACTACAGTTTTCTCTTTAGTTGCCTCACACACTGAATTTTCAACAGCAAAGGCAACGCATATTGCTGATGGGGTCTGTGCCTTTATGGATTGAAGTTTCCTCACCATTCAGCTACCTAACCCACAGATATTTTTCTGGGACTCCTAACCTCTTCTTTCCTTGGTGCCCCTTCTGAGTCCTGATCATGTGCTGTCCACTTGGAGACATAAATAGGTGATAAACGGAATTTATAACTAAACCAGTTAGCAGTTAGAAGATATTAATCTATGTAAAATCTATGGTAGATTTGTCTTACTACTTGGGAAAAAGTTCCATTTGCTGCATACTGTCTAGAGCATAAACCAAAAGGTTAACTGAAAAAGTAATACCCCTGAGTAGAAAATAATTGCCAGTTTATGTAATTTGTATGTAAAGTAATTGTTATTGCTTGTTGTTTTTTTCTGGGTGTTTTTTGGGGTTTTTGGTTTTGTTTTTGTTTTTGTTTTTTTGTTTTTTTTTTTTTTAAGCAGCATTTGTCTCTTAGGAAGCCGAAGAGATATAAGCAGGGAATATAGCCAAATATTCCAAATAATTTAAGTTTTCATTTTAGTAGCTTTGTAGGATCCATCTTGCATTCCTGAGATTCACTTTAGTGGTATGTCACCTATCAACCACTTCTAAAGGGCAGTATCAATCAGAGTATGATTTCTTCTTGTAATTTTTTCTAGCATTACAAAAGGGCGGAAATATAATTTTTTCTTACAATGTCTTGACAGCCTTGAATGTTAAGAGCTTGCTTTCAAATTAAAACAAATGTCTGAAACATCAGTTCTTATCTGATGTATTAAATATTCAATCTTTGATTGACATAGTTTTTATAGCACCTTAGGATGTGGGAGCAACTTATGATCCAACTTGTCAGGCATTAATGATTCTGAATATTTCTAATCTTCACTGTTAATGGTATTACTGCTTTTAAACATGTCAGAGTAGATCCCAGACAGAGCTGCAACTGTCTCATTCATCACAAACACAGTGCAGCCACCACTTGGTGGAGGAGGCCCTGAGTTATATCTGGTTTTATGTTGCTTCTGTACTCCCTCAGTTCTTTGAGATGATTTGGGTCAAATGAACTGGTATGAATGCAAGAACGGGGTTCTCACCAGCTGTGACTGCCTGTTGATGTTTTAAAATTGTTTCCTCTTAGTTTTTATGCAAGTCTAAAAGGGGCCTGGATTTTCTCCCTACTTGTTTAAAGAAAACTCTGGTATTTCACATTCTTCTTCTGTTATGTAAACAGAGCAAAGCACTGAAATTCACAGTAAAATGAAATTTTAAATGTTTCTCAGATAGACAAGGTATTAATTTCTATATGCTAAAATAAAAACACCCCCACTTTTTTTTCCCCCCCCCCCCCCATCTTAAAAACTTAAAAAGTAAGTCAGATACTGGGATATAAGAAGTGAGCTAAGGCCTCATAAGCACTCCTTTGGCTTTGCAGTTTAAGATGAGAGCTACAAATAATGGTTTTCTGCAGTCAGGAATTGCATAGGGTTCCCCTACTTCAGCGGTGGCTTCTTTCCATAAAGTTGCAAGATCTCAGTAGCCACTGAGTCTCCTTGTTTCTTTTGTCAAATCTATTTGCAGTCATCATCTGTCTCACAAGTTATTCAAGGATTTTCATGAATGCAGAGAGGCAGCAGTGCTTTAATGTAATCACATTGGCATCATTTCCTCAGCAATCAAGCTCAGATAAATAAATGTTCTTTGTTTGGCAAGTCACTTCAGAATGGCAAATCAATAATTTCCTACAGGAAAACATCAAAATTTTTCAGAGCTGAGGTACATTTTGCTTTTTATTATTCTGAGCAGAGTTGATTAAAAACTGATGAACCTTTTCCTTTCAAGAAGAATGACAGATTTCTTTTTTTTTTTTTTTTAATTCTGGGTGACTCAATCTAGAGAACATTTAATTGGGGAGGATAAGGCAAAGTATAAGGACATAACATAGTTCACTTGTATCTTTAGAGAATAAAAGGCACAGAAAGGAGTCAGCAGCTGGTACATTTGATGTGTTTAATGCAAGTCGGGGTACAAGTCTTCAAGAATTCACTGTAGGTAATAGACTGACACTGTTGGAGGCAGAGTATGTGATTTGCTGTTCCTTTTCCCCACTCTTTTAAATACCACATAGTCATCTGTGCTTGTGAATTTGGACTGAATGTCCATGTTGTTATAAATTTGGGAGGGAGATTCTTATCTGGTGGTATCTCAATGGGCTTTTTTGTTCAAACATAGATTTGCACCCAGGTTGTAATAGAATGAAATGTCATGCTAAGTAGGTTGTTCATAACCTCTAATTGTACTTTTCTCATTGTTCCTGCAAACATCATTGTAAATTTTAGTTTTCTATTGGCTTGTTTGTTTTTCAATTCTGTTCTGCTTGAAACATGATATATTATGCAAAAAGTAGCATGTTGTATGTTTTTAGCATACTTTTTTTTTTTTTTTTTTTTTAAAAAGGATTTATATTATACAGAGAGAAATCTGCAAGAATTTTGTCTGTATTTTAAAAGGGGACAAAAAATGTGAAACTGTGCTTCCAAATAAGTTATCAAACAGAAGATCAAAATCTTTTGTTTTTTCATTGTTCCAACAGACTATGAACATGCTCAACAGGCTGAGAACAGACCAACACAATAAGAGGTAACCTGTAAACACAGTAGAGCACTCTTGAGTTGTCCTGTTACTGTCAAATATAACTTAGGAAGGCTTAGTTGACAGTTCTAACCTGCTAGTACTGTATAGTCTTAAAATACGTAACTATTTCTCTGGTGGCTCTGTGAGCCTGACAATTATCATTGACAACACACAAAAATGTGATCATAAGAAACATGTTAGGCAATTTAGTGCAGCTAAATTATTAGCTCTTACTCCAGTGAGTTTAATGTCTTGAACATTATCTTCACCTTTTACCATGATTATGAGAAAGAAAAATAGAGTATTTCCAAAGTGACAGGATGTAAAAAATAAATCACTGTCCCAAAGTCTGATTTTGCACATATCTAGGTGGTTCTCTAACTTCTAATACTTGCAACTCTTTGATTCCTGTCACATGGGATCGCTTAGGGAAAATAAACAATACATCTATTGAAATATGATTTACAGGAGTATTTGTGGTTTGGAATGGGGTTGCACATCCCATTAGCAAGGGAGAAGAAAGATGTAGGACATGGACAGAGATTACAAGTAGATTGAAAGGACATGATTAGGTTATAAGTTATTTTTCTGGCTCTCTTTTCATTTGTAAAGTCCTTTTTTGTCAATTGTAAAAAATATTTGGGGAAGATTGTGATAAATTAGCAGATGGTATACTAAGGCTTATCGGAACTGGAATCTTTTTAGCTGATTCAAGAAAAATTTCATTTAATAGCAACAATGTTAGCAGATTACCTGGATATGTAAGAAAACTGTTATTATCCCTATCATTATTTTTAACCATGTTTTGCATGCAGCTCTGTACTCTATGCCCTGCCCTATCAACCCTTATCTTTCTCCACAGTTCTTCTAACATCCTTGTCTTTACTCTTCTGAAAACATCACTGTTCAAATATTTATCTTAGCCAAAATAAATGCATCTCTTCTGTGTAGGTGGGGACAGATGAGGTTACAGTTGAGGAAGGAAATAATATATCTCCAATTTGAATAAAGATGTGTCCAAAGACAACTCATGGCACACTGCTTCCAAATCCTTATTTGGATGTGTCTACATATCACTCGAAATAAAAAAAAAATATTAATTTAGCTGCTTTATTTCTAAGACCATCTGCATTTAAAATAAATAAAAAACTCTCCAAGCTGAATATGAATAAAACGCTTTCTCAATGTTATATAGCAAGTCTTTGAAAATGGTTTATTATTGCTTGTTTCTTTTAGGAAGTCTCTGAATTCATGAAGTTTTGCAATTTTTTTTGGTTGGCCAAGAGCTATTTCAACTTTTTTTCCTCACACACAAAACATGCACAAGAAAGAAGTATGAGATTGCTTTCACCAATTCACAGAAAAATATGCTTGATTTTTTTTTTTTTTCTGTCCAGCGTAAGATCATTTGATGTTTTCAACCAGAACTATAAATCTAAAGCACTACAGGCTGCCACTTCAATAAAATCTGTACTGCTCTTGCTAATGTCTTTTCTATTTACTTGATATTATGTAGGCAAAGTATAATAAAATGAACATACACATTCAGAAAAAGGGTTTTCTTCATTTTATTTAACAGCTTCTCTTCCATTGTAATATAGTAGAAAAGTACCTTTTACATGCTAGCTGTAAAGTGTGAGCCCAATGAACATTAAAGTAAAAAGAGGACGAAGTATAATTATGTTATAAGCCAGTTTTAAGTAGTCTTTCTAACAAGATGAGACTTTCTTTGTATAAGTCATATAGTATTACAGAATATTTGCACATACTTAGGGGTGATCAGTTTGGGTATGTTGGGTAATCAACATATGTGGGTCCTGCTGTATAGTACTAATCTGTTAGACATAAATCTGCTGCACTTCTACATTGCTGGTAGATGAAGAATGTGAACAAAAATATGTGAAGGAACTACTGAAAACTCCAGCAGCACAGGGTTTACAGTCAGCTCGCCACTCCTTCCTTCTCGCTGCACATCCCTCCCCTGTTCCACGTGGCTCCCCTCTCACTGGAGACAGTCCTCCATGAACCTTCTCCGGCATGAGTCCTTCCCACAGGATGCAGCTGTTCCTGAGCTGCTCTGGTGTGGGTGATCCTGTGTGTTGCAGTCCTACAAGATCAGGGGCTGCCTCTTCCTTCAGTGTCCCAGCTTCCTTTAAGTTCAGAAGCCTGTCCTGGTGTGGGCTCCTCCACAAGCTTCATGTTGGTCTCTACTCCACTGCTGATCTCCATGGATGGTAAGGGGGCCAGACCTGCTGTTTCACCATGGGAATACAGGGGTTTGTGCTCCAACACAACTCCCTGCCTTGCTTCTCCTTCCTTCCACTGAGCTGGGTGTTCACACCAGTGTCCTCCTCATAACTCCTCCTCACAAGTCCCAACCCCCTCTCAGGTTCCCCTTCGCACAGGGGCCATTGCTGTAGCCCCTCTCCTACTACTAAAAAAAAACCACCAGAGAAACCCAGCACAGGCTCTTACTCAGTAAGGGAAACACCACACAGTCAGGCACACTCAGATTTGCAAAAGCTGAAGGTGCTGGTACATCACACAGCTGAGGATCGTATTGTCTGAGCTATGTTTTATCAGCTCTTTAAATAGGGGAAGAAGTTGGTTCTTGAAACTTTAGCTGTTGCAGTCTATCACTATGTTATCTGGCTATCTACATGCTGGAGGAGAATTAAGAGTTGGCCAATCCTTGGCTGATTTTTTCCTGTCATAAACAGCTAGAGGCTGGGTAGTAGGATTTTGGTTGGTTAGTTGGTTGGCTGGTTTTATCACTGAAGTTTTAAAGTGTGCTGGGGCTGAGAGTGATGTATTATCAGTCGAGATAGGATGTCAGAAAAAAGATAGTGCAATAGATGTGTAAGTCAGTGTGATTGGCATAAATAAAGAAGCCCCAAAGAGGAAGCTCTTATAAAAAGAAGGCAAGTGGTGCCTGAGATTCAGACTAGTAGGAAAATTTTAAAGTATGTGGTACTAAGGCAATAATACAATGCCAGGTCTTTCAATAAAATACCAAAATTTTTGTAGACTTGTGGTTTCATATTTTAGTGTTGTGGTGGTTTATGCTCAGCCAGCAGTAAAGCACCATATGGCCACTCATTCACTTCTCTCCCCCTCGGTGGGATGAGGAGGAGAATCAGAAGAAAAAAAGAGTAAAATCCTGGAGGTTGAGATAAGGACAGTTTAATAGAACAACACAAGAATAGAAGAAAGAGATAACAACAGCAATACTCTTAAAATGAATAAATAAAGTGAGTGATGCACAGTGAAATTGCTCACCACCCGGTACCCCACACTCAGACCCTTTCTAAGCCACAATCACTGCCCACCACCACCAGCCAGCTCCTCTAGTTATATACTGAACATGACATCTGCATGGTGTCAAATACTCCCTTGGCTGCTTTGGGTCGTATGTACTGGCTGTGAACCCTCCCAGATTCTTGTGAAAATTAATGCTATCCTAGCTGAACCCAGGACAAGTGTTTTCCAATTGTTAGAGTTTTAGAGCACGGCTGTAGATTTATGAAACAGAACAGCTTATAGAAGACATTTTTCAAAAATCAGGAACTTACATTTTATTGTTTATAAAGAAAGAAAAAAATTTTTGTTTCTTGTTTACCTCACAACCATGATTTTTTTTTGGGCTCAGTATCTGAAGTGCAGTATAATTTGTTCTCTTTACTAAAACTATTAGATATGTAATGTAGATATGTATTTTTCTTCAGATATTTCTCAGATTTTAGAAGAAATAGTCCCAAACTTTATTCATTATTGTTATCTCTATTTCATCTTCTCCAAAATCCCACTAGAGTTGTCTTTATGTTGCATTCGGCATCTTCTATATCAGCTAACATCTGTAGAGCTTTAAGATATAAGGGCATGATTTTTTTCTTCTTTATATTGCTTCGAATTAAAAATACAATAAAATTATAAAGTTGGAGAGAGGGAAGAGAGGAACTGAGTATCTGAAGTCTTTTCCAACAATTTATAGCGGATGTTAGCATGGTAAGAAGTCATTCACATGCATTTATCTCTTCATACAATACAAAGAGCATTTCAGAAATTCATGTTTCTGTGTTGTCGAAGTCTGAAAGGATAGTATTTAAAAAGATGAACAGGATTGTTTCAAATCCACAGTCTGTTCAGTCACATGGATATTCTTGGGGTGAGCGGTCTAATTTTATTGATGTTTGATGGCAAAGAGCTTTTTGTTGGTTTAAAGCAGATTAAGGATGCGGAGCCACGGAGGAATGACACGCCGAGACGGATTCAATGTGGGTGATAGAGCATCATATATCTTTATTGGTCCAGGGTACATATATTTATACAGACAACGCTAATTATTATGCCTACTAGTCACTAGCTGATTGGCTTAAGCTCTAAAGGTCGTATTCGCACGGTCCACCTACTTGCAGTTAGCTAACAGCACAAGCTTCTCATAACACTAAGTTTCTCATGCCACTATTTCTAATTCCTCTTAACTTGTTTTCGATACACAACGGTACCATAACACAAAGTTTCTCAGGCCACCATTACCATAACACTAGGTTTCTCAGACCACTATTTCTGATTCCTCTTAACCTGTTTTTGACACACCACGGTACACAAGGCCGAAGTGTCCTTGACATTCTTCATGTATCAGCAGCTGCGAGCAGCTGCAGGCAAACCCTAGTGAGGCCCAGCATCGGTGAGGCTCAGCATCAGCCCCTAGAACAGGCTCTGATCGTACAATTGCTCGGTGGGCTCAGGACCCTTGTCTCTGAGCCATTCTCCAACATAAGGATAAAGGATAAAACAAGGAACACCCAGATTCTCTTAGTTTATGGCAAACTTCTATGATAAGGTGTTTGTCGGAAGTTTGAGCTAACAAGTCATTGATGTACAATTTGATTTCCCATCTGTTTATACTCGAAAACCATGCAATTCACTCAAGAATGAAAGTAAAAAGGTCACATATTAGGCAAGAATTACTTTTCCTTTGTATTTTTGTTTTGTAAATGACATAATGACAGCACTAGATTTCCCATGCCTACTTGGATTAAAAACCCATAATTCAAGTTTGTTGAAGAAATTCTTTTTGTTTATGAAAATGTGTGTGCATGTTCCTGTTTCTCTGATCAGAGAGACAGACAGCTTTCTAATTCAGAAAGTCTTCCAATGTGCCACTACAGAAAGTTAGTCCAAGAGCCTATCAGCATTTTCAGATGCCTTCTGATTCATGCTCTTCCTATTTTGGTCTTGTTCCTTCTAATATTCACAGATAACATCTTTGAGCCTGTGGTGGCTATGCACGCCTCTTTCTAAGATATATGCATGTAGGGTCCTGGCATGGTAACTTGTTTACAACTGTCTCAATCGTTCCTTTCTGCCTTGTGAGTTTAAGTGGACATATTTGACTTCAATTTGATATGTGGCTGAAGGCAGCCATAGGAATGTCCAGCATAATGGAATGATTAACTGGAAGAAATTACAGTACTATATTCGTTATTATTTTACTCTAAGATGTTAGTGCACTGTGTTCAGGAAGGAAAGGAAAAAATGGCGTTCGCTATTCCTGTAAAGATGATATTATTAAATCAATACTCTTTGTTTAAAAACAAATTTATAAGAATGTGTTTGCATCGATTATTGTGAAATACAAATATATTACTATACCTTCTTTAGGTATCTCTTGGGAATTGCAGGCACAGTGGCATAAGCTATTGCTTTGCCTTAGTGCTGGGTGCTGACTAAAGAAAAAAACTGTATGTTGTGCTGTGTATGATCTAAGATCTCAAACAATATTTGGTCTGACTTTCTGAGGTGAAGTTGTAGAAGAAGCCTCTGCTTATTTTCAGTAGACATCTCTTTCCAAGCAGCCAACTATTTAAAATTTATGACTTGCATAACTCTGTAGTTACATTTCTGTAGCAAGTAACCTTTAAAATCATGCAACTGGAAATCATAGGCTCAAACTGAAAAGGCTGCTACAGTATTACCCTTGCAGATTATCCAGATGAATTTTCTTTGCCAGTTCTTAACATTGTTGATCTGTGCAGTGAGTTTTTTGACAAAGAAGGTGCTTTATTATCTTTTCACGTGATAATTGCAATGTGTACATCTGCAGAGGTATGTTTTGCAGTGAAGACAATAAAAGGGTATCAGTAGTCTAAACATGTTGATTGCTTTTACTTACTGAACACAGAAAATATCCCTGCATTCCTGCCAGCTGAATAACAATTACTTTTTTTAAACCATAAACAAAAAATCTAACTTTAAATGGAGCAGCCTTAAGACCAGAGAGTGTTGCCGTGTAAGACAACAGAATGCATATCTCAGCCAAGAAATGCTTGAATGCACCTGGAAAACACAGGCCAATAAGCTGCTTGGATATACAAGAGTGTATTACAGACTGATCATCCACTGACTTAACAAACCATATAGACTGTGATCCTGTATTGTTGTGTGAACTTCTTTTGACAGCTGTCCAGAGGCCCTTCTATCTATTTGAATTGTTCAGTCACTGGG